AAAAAAAAAAAAAACAAAGCCATGCATTATTCATTGCAAGGAAAATAACTAGGAACTAACAGCATGTTATCATTAATGCGTGATAAGCATCAATGAAATGGAATGATGTTAGGACTTAGCATATAAAGAGATCCCAACCCAAAAGACTAGTCCATTAGGAGGGAGAGCCTTATAGCTTAAGTACCACATTGAGCTTCTTATTCTACTCAACATAAGACTCTTAACATTGTCACCCCCTTTAAGAGACAACGTCCAACAGCTTTCGCTCTATCGACACCAACCCCCGATGGTAGCCCTTTTTCCCTTTGACCATTTCATTCACCTATCAGTATTCAGTATTTCACCTTAATTCAGCCTATAGGTATCCCAACTCTCAACAAAAGCACCAATTGTTAGGACTTACGTACATGAACAGAGCCCAACCCAAAACACTAATCCTCGAGAAGGAGGGCCTCATGACTTAAGTACCACATTGAACTTTTTATTCCACTCAATGTGGGACTCCTAACCAATGAACTAAAATGAAATAGCAATGAGATGTACAAATAACAAACATAACGTGTCACCTGACTCAAGAAGTTCATTGCCTCTTTAACAACATCCCTGAATTTGTCATCATCAAGCCAACCAAACTTTGTAATGCGACAAAATAGTTGGATCAAGGATCCAAGCACAAAGGGCTCCAGTTCAGGTCCTTTGCTGGCCAGATAGTTTATGAGATAGTTTCCTTCAAAATAAAAATAAAAATACAGCAATTTGATCAATTTGGGTTAAAAGAAAAAAGCAAAGGAAGCAACCACAGTATGGGAAAAGTGACAGCAAGACAATAAAAAATAATGAACCCAAATTTCCCAAAAAAAACAACCTGAAAAAGAAATAAGAGAAAGTCTCCTTTAGATTATCCATAAAATAAGCTGATTCTAATTCAAGAACAGAGAGTTCAATACATGCAAAATTAAATCTACAAGTATTGAAGAAAGTATATCATAATGCAGAAATGTCACTCAGTAAAATTTGTTTAGGAAAAGGATGAATGATGTGTTTTCCCATATAGACCCAAGCCAAATATATAGAGCCACTAAAATACTCCTAGGCATAATCATCTGCAAGCAAGAATATTACGAATATCAATCCGGAGCTGTAAAGGAAGGCTTCGCTCTGTCACTTGCTTCAACAAGCTCGAACTTGCCAACATCAATGCATAAGGAGAGGATGCATTATCCAGAACATATTGGCACTGAGAAATGTAGTCAGTGTTTAAGGAAAAACACTTCAGGGTGCTTTCCGCATGTGCTCTCTCAACAGAGTCCTGCGAGTTATAAAGCCTTTCACACATTGCTTCCAGTTGTGCTAAAGTCTCCATTCTTCACTGTGTAGGAAGTGTGTCCAACAATTCAGATGAAGAAGTCAGTTTTTCTCCTTTTTCCACGTATAACCAATATAAATCTACAAGGTTTCATGTGAATACAAGCATATATTTAGAGGTGGAAACACAGAATCTAAAGCAAGCATCAGTTCAATACAAATCATCAGACACCATCAGAGTTGATCAAATTGGATATAGTAACACTAAAATATTAATTGTTTACAAGTGTACAAGATAATGTTTTCAAATCTGAAACTGTTTGAATTACAAGAATACTCTAAAATACAAAGATAGCTCTGTTAAAAGGGTCACAGCAGAATTTGTCAGCAAATCCAGCTACAATAGCACTTGTCCAAGGAAAATGAGCGGTACAAACCTGACAGAAAGAAAAAGAAAAAAAAAAGTCAAAATCATTTAAAATTTAATTTATAATATAGAATTTTCAATTAAACAAAACAATTGTTTCCTAATAGAAAAAACAGAACATATAAACAACTGTTGTTCCCTTAATCTACTTCCTTCATCAAGAAATTATTCTTAATTCTGAGCAAAGAGAAACAGCTTTAAAGCAAGACAAACATAGCATGTACCTATCTCTATATGGATGGATGCATGTATAATACACAGCATTACCCCCATAAAAGAATGAAGGCAGACTTCAACACCTTCAAGACTAAAGGAAGAAAAAATATCCACAGTGCAACTCATACTCAATGAAAGAAATGGTTATATCCTCACCCTCCTTATTTTCATCAATATTGTATAGGATAATGGCAGAAGTGTTCATTGTTCATGTTACAATAGGGTGTGGTAAGAGATAGAAATCAAAATCAATCACTGGACTTCTAACATCTTAAGCTTTAAAATTGATGATTTATTGACATAAAATATGATTGTTTTGCAATAATAAGTAATTACATGCATAATAATCAGAACCCCTGCTGGCCTCTATTAGCAAATCATATTTAGGTCACCACATCATACACACCCTATAGATGGGATAAATCCACAATGAATGAGCAATTACAAAGTTTGGAACATGGTCTCTAACAAACTCCATCGCTTGAAAGAAAAGTTACATGACCAACTGTAAGGAAATAATGGATCTCTAACCTAAATGTACATGGGGATCCAAATTTGGGCCCAGTGGCTGACTACAGGGTTTTTTATCATAACAAAGAAACTATTAAAAAAGGAGATACAAAACTAAGAGAATACGAAATCCTCAAAAATTATATCAATAATGGCTAATGAAAGAAAAAGGCTAGGAAAAACACTGTAACACAATACTTGTAACACTCATTACACACCAACTCTATATAGATCTACCAAAGATACCCTCCTAAAATGACCATTAGCAAAACACCACAAAGAAGCTATTTGAACTACTTGGTCTTGTTCCCAAATAAAATTCAGAGGCAACATACGATCAATAAATGAAATCTGCAAATTGAAATAACACCACAGCAGTTTAGCAAATTTGTAATCTCTAAATTAACACAGGAACTTCTGGAGATCCTTTGGGCGAACAGCAAACCCAATATTCGGTAAATGAGAACTAAGGAGTTTGGCATATTAAATGAACTCTATTATGAATAAAAGAAAGGAGATATATTTTAGAACAAAGTTATTAATCAATATTGACTTGAGAATTTCATTTGCATTTCATTGAGACTCCATTGAAAGGGACCCACTCAGTGTACTCAAAAAATCCAAATGGCATGCATAAGCTGCCAAAGGCAACAAATTGATGTGATAGGCAAAAAGGGATAACAACACAACTTTCTACTTCCTTGTGGCAGCTTTTTAAGTTCCAGCAAACCACACCTTTTCAATTACTATAATAAACAAAACGCAATCATCCAACTTGCTATTTGCAATGGAAAGGGGATAGATAGTCACAAGACTCACAACCAGTTGCCAGTCTTTGGGGTGGTTCTTCACGGCAAAAATCTAAGGATTTTGTAAATTGAACTTCTTAACTGTTATTTTACCTAAGAAAACACGAGTAGTTAATTTATATGGAAACTAGATGCAAATTAGTCGTATATTTAATTATTTCTAATGTTAAAAACCTTTCTCTAGTGATGCGTACACTTTTTGGTGCCTCTGGCTTCGAAGCCTTCAAACCACCTTTTGCCTATAATTAAGTCAGACCCACTACCTCTACCAACAAGTCATTGGCAATATCACGCCAAACATTATCTAAATTTACAAGTTACCAAATTCTTTTTTTTTATAAAAGCCAATACTAATTTAGATCTTCTACAATTCATGCGTGGCAGGAAATAAATTTAATGTCTATAAATTCAATCATCGAAAATATCATGCAATCATGAAAGGTATATGTTTCAATTTTCCCAATTTTATGCCATACTTCACAATGCTCCAATAACACCAATGTGCACAAAACACCACCCACAATAAGCACACCCCTTTCCCATTCCCCTTTCTTCAGTTCATGGGCAGCCACTTTTCACCAAGCAGTACAACAATAACACAACGGCATCAACATGTAAGGTGACAACAAACTGAGCTCTTTGCTCAA